GCCTCCCCCCCCTCCTCACACCATCCCAAAGAGAGTAAATTGCTGTACTTGGAGTTAAAGATAAACATATATTGATTACACATGGTCATAAAAAAAAAAAAAAGTAATAATAATAATAATAATAATAATAATAATAATACATTTCCTAGAACATTACTTAAGACGCTTCCGAAAAGCATCCGAGCTTCCCCTCCCCTCCCCGCCTTCCCTTATCTATACAGAATAAAGTGCTTCATTTAGTTTGTTCACACTAGTAGAGCCACCAATACACTCTTAACTTGGCATGTTTGGGCAACCGATACTGAATGCCGGAAAATAATACAGAGCCGAACACCAGGCATGAGAAACCAGTTTTGAGGCAAGTGCTTGGGGGTTTCATTTCGTTTCCTTCAAGTTCCATGCTGCTGAGGTTGTTCTCATTCCTTTTTTTTTTTTTTTTTTTTTTTTTTTTTTTTTTTTTTTTTTTTTTTTTTTTTTTTTTTTTTTTTTTTTTTTTTTTTGTGATTATTGTTTTCTTCCTCTGCGAGTCCGACCCAGCTCCCGTCGTGGTTCCGTGTCACCGGGCAGGGCCGCGCGTGGGGAAGCTCTCGCCGTCCGTGTGAACAAAGGGCGTCTTTCTGTCCGTCCTTCCCTCCCAGCTTCGGGCAAACCAAGAGTTCACTCCGTGGAGTTGTCTTAGCAGCGGATGCTCATCTCTATTGCACTGTCACAGCCATTCCCACCCGTCCATCTGTCCGTCCATCCGTCCGTCCCACCGCTCCGGGGTTATGGCTGTGGTCCGTAGGGCCAGCCGTGCCTCACGGGGTGGGTGAGTGAGGCCAGCTGGTCTGTGCTACCGGGCTCCTGGGATACATCAAACCAAAAACAAACAAACAAAAAAAAAAAGGATCCTCCTCCCCACGCGACTCCCTCCCTCCCCAACCCTCCCCAAAAGTTCAAATGTGAGGGGTGAGGGAAGAAAAAAAAAAAAAAAGAAAATCCCAAGCCAGACGGGTGTGGGGTGTAGGTGAGTGGGACGTTGCGTTTGCGGCGTATCCATGGAAATCAAGCCCCTCTCCACCCTCGCGGCCTGTCGGAGAAGGGGTGTGAGAGATTAAGGTGCAAGAGTTAATAATTAAAAAAAATAATAATAAAAAAAAATGAAAAAAAAAAAAAAGAAAGTAAAACGTAAAAAGCTTGAAAGCATCGGACCCGACTCCTCCATCCTCCTGCCCCGTCCAAGCCCAGCGGGTGCAACTGGGATGGATCTGGGATGGATGTGGGATGGATCCGGGATGGACGAGGCACTGCGGGAGTGACTCGTCTGAGCTCTTAGTACTCTAATGAAAACCAGACGTGGAGACACACTGGGGCCGAGTAAGGGTGTAGACAAACGGGCTCGGAGGCCTTGTGGGACTCCTGGGAACTGCCAGGGCCTTGGAGAGGGGAGGGAGCAGCAGGGATCTGGTTCTCCAAAGTGCTGTGTGCATGGTCACATCTCGACGTCTCCAAGTGGCTCTCGAAGGGGATCAGTCACCAGGCTCTCCGCTGCGCTTCCACCCGCAGGGAAGGGCTCTCATCTCACAGAGATGTCCAAGGGGGGCAGGTCCTCGCTGGGAGAGGATGAACTGGGGCAGGAACGGGGAAAGCCACCTCCAGGTGAGCGGTACAAGGGAGCAGATGTTGGCGTGGGTGTTTACTGGGGGGGAGGAGTCTGTCAGCCAGGCAGGCTGAGGGGCTCCGTCACAGAAGACCATACAAGCCCTCAGGCCAGAGTGCTCCCATCCTGTCTCTGGGCTGAGCATGAGGGGAAAGAGGCACAGGGAAGCCTGAGGGGGATCTGGGAGGCAGTAGAGGAGGAGACAGCATGGACCACTCCAAAACCTCCGCGGGTATCACTGAATGCTTCTCTAAAACAATCATCTTCCAGTCTGGATCATGGTCCCTTCAGAAAGCCAACGGCCCCAAGAGTTGAGTGCCCCCATCCCTCATGGGTCTGTGTTTGGGAAGGCTTTGCACCATCCTAAGGAGCCCCAGGTCATGGAGCACAATAGGGAAGCCTCTGGTGCCCACTGAGAAGGTCCATACAGAGAAGCAGCTCTGCCACAGCAACCTCCTTTTGCTCAAAGCAGATGGAGATAGGGGTGAGCTCACTGGTACCGAGTGTGGTCCCAGGGATCCACGGGATCCCAGCCCACATGGGGATCAAGAGCAAATCTGTTGCTCCGAAACGCCAACATCCACAAGAGCAGCCAGCTCTCCCGAGATGCCAGGCGTGGGGGGCACCACTCAGCACGAGGGGACAGCGCTCAGCTGGCCACTCACCTCAGAGAGCACTCAGCACCATGGCAGAAGCTCCCCTGTCCTGTCCCTGTCAGGCTCCTGCATGTCCCTGGTCAGCAAAGCCCCTGAGCAGGGGGATGACTCCTCCCATGTCTGCAGGGGCAGCCTCAGCCCTGCCCAAGTGCTGTGCTGATTTGGTCCAGGAGGTGAAGCACCAGGACCTTTCACAGAGCCCTGTGTGTCTCACTGTCCCCAGCACTCTGCTGTCACCCAGAGCAAGGTGCAAACGAGACAGGGCTCCTGCAGCCCACTCAGGGACCTCTCTTCCTTCTTATCTACCAAGAGCTCTGCTCATCACCTCCTCCATGACATGATCCATGCCCGCATTTGCCCCCAACGCTGGCCTTGGGAGCAAGGAATCAGCTGCAACACACCCCACCTCTCTGCCTGTGCTGGATGCTCTCTGACCCCAAAGGGGACACCTACAGACCATACAACCATGGTCAGACCAACACATGACACCCTGGAGCAGAGAAAAGCAGCGAGAAACCCAGTTGGGACCTCAGTGTCCAACAAAAAGATGACAAGAAAGGCTTCCTCTTCTCTGCCAGCATGAGGCCAGGCATATTATTCCTAAGAGAAACCAAAGACCGGCCCAACTTCAACAATTTCAACTAGCCAACACTTCAGGGCATCGCCAAAACACCCACAGCCCTCACTGGTTCTCTCTGGTCCCCCCAGCTCAGGGCAGGGCAATGGATACCAAACCCACAAGGAGAGGCCAGTCTTAGCAGAGCAACGCAGGCAACAAGCTGAAGGATAGGACACTGTCACCGGGCTGAACGAGGTCTTGCTTTAGCTCCAGACCTCGCAACGGGGCCCAGCTTGGAGCTCACCCACCACTCAGGGGTTCTTCAGATTGTTAAGGCACTATTCTGGGCCGATGCTGTCGAGGAACAGCATCGTCCTGCTCCTCTGTCCCAGGCCACCCTCCCGCCGGTCCCGAAGCCATCTGAACCCTCCCAGGGACAGCTCGCCAACTCCAGACCATCCCCAGGAGCACAGCTCCCACTGGGATCAGCAGAAAGGGCACACCAGAGCCCGGCACACTTAGGGCACCCCAAAAATGAACCGGCAGCGAGCTGCAGACGCCCCGAAATGCAATGTGGGTGTTTGTGCTTTTGCCTGCGGAGGAGGAAAACCCAGCACAAAGAAGGAAGATGTGGCGAGGCCTGCTAAGGAGAGCGTGCTGATGGCTTTCCAATGGGGACATCGGGGCTCCTCCACGGAGCCCACCCCTCAGCCTGGCGGGAGAAGGGCCTGAATTGAAAGACCAGCTTTACAGTACAGGGATTCAAGCACCACTAACTAGATTTCAGCTCAGAAATACCGAGGCACCGGCAGGAACTCGTTCGCCCAGCGCCGGATATCAGGGCACCCTGCTCTTCCCAGCCCCGCCAGCATCCCGGGACAAAGGTGGAGCTGCAGATGAAACGGAGAGTGACAGCTTTTACCTACACCCTTACGGACGGACAGGGGTTCCCCCCCAACACCCACGCTCCTCCGGAGAGGCCTCCTCCTGCTCCCCTTCTCTGCGGAGAATGAGAAAAAGGAATAAAAACCCCAAAACAACCCCAAAACGAGGAGGAAGGTGGGGGTGGGGGTGGGGTAGAGAGCAAGCAAAGCCTTGTCTCCCCGGGGAGGGGAGGCATTCCCAAAGGGCAGAGCAGTCCGTGCAGGCGCATGGCCAGGGGGGTGGGGGGGCACCTAGTTGTTGTTGGAATTTATCCTCCCCGCGGGGAACAGGGGAGGGGGCGGCGGTAGGTGAGGAGGAGGAGGGAGGGTCTGTGGGAGAGGATGGAGCAGCGGCAGGGGCAGGGGGGACACGCCGGGGCCGGGGGGCAGCGGGGCGGGGCTGGTGGCGGGCTGGGGGGCAGCCGTGTCCGAGGCCAGGGGGTTGCTGACGCGGAAACATTTCTCCTTGTGGGCCTTGAGCATGTTGGAGAAGCGGAAGCGCTGCCCGCACACGTCGCAGGGATACGGCTTCTCCCCCGTGTGGGTCCGGCGGTGCCGCTTCATGTTGGGGCGGCTGGTGAAGCTCTTGCCACAGATCTCACAGATGTAGGGCTTCTCGCCTGAGGGCGGGAGAACGGGGGTGAGAAGCTGGGGATTGGGCCAAAAACCCATCACAGAATCAACCAGACTAGAAAAGACCTCCAGGATCAAGTCCAACCCTTGTTCCAGCTCTGCTGTGATTCCCTACCCATGGCACTGATGCCACATCCTTAAACACCTCCAGGGATGGGGAATCCACCCCTCCCTGGGCAGCCCATTCCAATGGCTGAGCACTCTCTCTGGAAAGAATTTCTTCCCAGTATCCAACCCAAACCTCCCCTGGCACAGCTCCAGACCGAGCCCTCTTGTCCTACTGCTGGTTCCTGCCAGGGAGTTGCAGAGAGTGCTGAGTCTCCCCTGAGCCTCCTCCTGTCCAGGCTGAGCCCTCCCAGCTCCCTCAGCCTCTCCTCACAGCACTTGTGCTCCAGTCCCTTCCCCAGCCTCATTGCTCTTCTCTGTCCCTGCTCCAGCCCCTCCATGTCCTTCCTGAGCTGCCCAGAGCTGGACATGGCACTCCAGGGGTGGTCTCACAGGGACAGAATCCCTTCTCTGCTCCTGCTGCCACACCATTCCTGAGCCAGGCCAGGGTCCCTTGGCCCTCTTGGCCCCCTGGGCACACTCTGGCTCATGTTCAGCTCCTGTCCCTCCACACTCCCAGCTCCCTCCCTGCCTGGCTGCTCTCCAGCCACTCTGTCCCCAGCCCGTGGGGCTACTGGGGCTTGTTGTGGCCAAAGGGCAGGACCTGGCACTGGGTTCATCCTTCCATCCATGCAGAGATGCTGTTCCCATCCCATCCCATCCCATCCCATCCCATCCCATCCCATCCCATCCCATCCCATCCCATCCCTCTTTCCCCAGAGTTCCTGACTCCAGGGGTTTGGGGCAAGGCGAGGGGCTGTTACCTGTGTGTGTTTTCATGTGCTCATCGAAGTACTGCTTCATGTTGAAGTCCTTGCCACACCACTGGCACATGAACTGCTTGTGGCCGATGTGGATGCTCATGTGGGAGCGCAGCTGGTACTTGTACTGGAAGCGCTCGTTGCAGTTCTGAGGGGGTGAGACGGGCATGAGTTCCTGACCAGCACCCAGAACAACCCCACATTCCCCCCCAAATCACCAGCAGTGAAGAAATTCCCTTTTTTTTTCTCCCAAAAGAGAACCCAAATAAATGGCTTTTTTGGGGCCACAGCCAAACAGGTTTGCAGGCTGGATGGGTTTGAGGTGGGATGTAAGATCCAAGTACTGGGGGGACAGATCCTGGCAGTGGACAAGTTTCACCATATGGTTGGTGGAACCCTCAAACCAGGAGGGGATGCAAAGTTTGGAGGAGCATGGGAGCATCCCTACAGCTGCACTGGCACCAAGCAGGGGCGAAGCCTCAAGAAGTGGAAGATCTTTCCCCAAATCAGCGGTTTTGTCCTCATTTGAGAGGACATGAGGTGGGGTCACACCCAGGACCTTACCTCACATTTAAAAGGCTTTTCCCCCGAGTGCTGGAGCGAGTGGACCTTGAGGGACATGCTGCGCTTGAAGGACTTCCCGCAGGTCTCACAGGTGAATGGCATGTCCTTGGTGTGTGCTGAGGGGGAGAGGGGCAGGGTCAGGTCCCCACACCTCCAGCATCCCTCTCCCCACACCTCCAGCATCCCTCTCCCCTCACCTCCAGCATCCTTCTCCCCTCACCTCCAGCATCCCTCTCCCCTCACCTCCAGCATCCTTCTCCCCTCACCTTCAGCATCCTTCTCCCCACACCTCCAGCATCCCTCTCCCACTTCCCAGCCATTGCTCCCAACGCCAGTGCCCAACCCCAGCAAACCCAAAGTCACCTTGGGAAGATGCACACCATCAACATTATAAGTTCTTCCCCAATTTCTTGCCAAAACACTCCTTTTTTAGGAGGGGATCTGTCTGGTCCCTGCAAGGCCCAGGGACCCGCCCCACCCTTGCTGTGTGCACTTTGCTTTTCAAAGCCCAGCACTGGTGTGGCCTGGTCCTATTTTACAAGAGAAGGATGGTCACACTTCAAACCCTCCTTTGAGCACTTCTGAGGGTCTATTTTTTTTCTGGTTAAGTTAAATAAAAGGAGTTCCCCATCATCACACCTGCTTGCTCCAAACCCAGCACCGAGCAGACACAGGTTCAACATTAAACACCGAATTTTGAGGTGTGCATGAGAGAAAGCTCACACAGGATTAAGCCCAGCCCTAAACACCCAAACAGCAACGAAAAAACCGGCTTTCACTGCCAAACTGCTGGATGGAGACCCCTAATGAAGTGTCCCCGTGGCACTGGTGCCCCCCGCACTCACCAACCATGTGTTTGCGCACGTGGGCCATGGTGTAGAACTTCTTCTCGCAGATCTCGCAGGAGAACTTCTTCTCTGCATAGCCATGGACGATCTTGTTGTGCTCGTGGAGAGACCAGAGCTTCTTGAAGCCCTTCCCACACGTCACACACTGCAAGGAGAGAGAGGGGATGGTGAGGGAACCAGGGGAACGTGCCCAAACACCACCAATGTTTTCATCTTGCTGGGCAGTCACCTTCATCCCTTGAAAGGGTGAAACCTTCAGCTGAGATACCAAAAATCAGAATGGCCAGCAAGTCTGACACAGACCTTGTCGCTCCAGAACCTCCAAACATCAAATTTCTGTCCATGGGATGAAGAAGGGACGATGTCCTTCCAGGGAAGGACGTGACGTCTCCATCGGTGGCTGTTTTAGGACTTGCACAAACAGCAGCTCATGCAGCAAGGCCCTATTCCCAACTGGGAATTTTATTCCTAAATGAAGCCATCATGTAAATAATCCCAACCCTCTGTGTGTTAGAAGGCTGCAAAGAATAGAGAAACAAGGGGAATCCCAAGCCAGGGCAGCACAACTTCAGTCTTCAGCAGATATTACAGGTACTCCACTGCTAAATGAGTCTTCCAAACATTTCTATGACCCTGTGATATCCAAATGGACCAAAATGGACCCCAAAAAAACAGTCTATCAGCACAAGAAGAACAACACAATATGCAAAGTCTTTGCCAAGAAGTTCTGGTTGGGATTTGCTGCAGCTCCAACAAGTTCAATGTTTCTCTGGAAGTTCTAGGGAAAAGCTCCAGCTCTGGGGTGAGATCTGTTTGAAGGATGTGAGGGCAGTTCAGTGCTCAGGGAAACACTGATGTCCACCCAGGAAACCACTGCTGGAGCACAGGGATGGCAGGCAAGGGGCCTGCCAGGAGCCAAGGGTCTCTTTTTCCTCCAGGGGTCAACTCTTTCCACTTCATCTTTCCACGACTCATCTTCCTCTTGACCGACAGGGATAAAAAACCCATCCCCTCTACTCACAGATGTGTTGAGAAAATAATTCAAGCCTTGGAGGCACCTCAGAACAACAGAGCTGAGAGGCACCAGTGAGCTCAGGAAGGGATTTCTCCACCTCTCCCTCCTACCCAGAGGAACAGATGATCACTGATCGACGTCAACCAAATTTTGCTGTGATACTCTTGAAGACACATCATTAGGCTGTGAAGTCACAGTATCTCTCCATATATATTTATATGTGGGTGCCCAAGGGGCAAAATTAGGGTCACAGAGCCATTCCCAGCCCTCATCACTGCTAATCCTCTGAGTTTTGCTGTTCCTGAGTATGTATTTCCATGGATTGCAGTTTTATCTCTGCTTTAAGAGGTATTTCAGGGCAAATTCAGGACTAGAGCCTGATATCAAAGGCACATCAATATCCATTTTCTCCACTTCAAATGAAAAAGGCTGCAGGGGAATTTTGAAATGAAAGGTAGAGGGAAAGCAGCAGAGGTAGGAAAAACCTCAGGCTGGGACCAAACTCCCCCCCCGGAGGGCTGAGCTCTGTGTCCTCAGTTACTGCAGAAAATCATCACTCAAAAATGTGGAAGTTACATCCAAATGAGGGGGAAAAAAAAATGAGAATATAAATCCTTTCAGGTAAAGAGGAAAACCATACTGAAGCTGACCAAAAAAATGAGTTTGAGGAACAACCCAACAAAGCAAAGGATGAATCACTTTTCAGGTGGTGGAGGCAGGATGCAGGTTGGGGAGATGGGAAATGATCACAGGGAGTGAGATGATGCCTAAAACCTAAATGGATGAAATTTGGGGACAAAACAGGGAAAGAAAGCAGCAGAGCTGACTGGGATAAGAGGGGTGGTTCCTCTATGGATCTGGTTAAAAACCAAGAAATAAAGTCTGTCTATTATACATATAAAGTCAGAAAAAAAAATTCCCTTTTTCTTCCAGACATAATTCCATGGTATATTGATAAAGTTATTCAATATTATCAGAGCACAGGGAGTGAATGTGGCTATTTTTCAAATTAAAAATGCTCAATTAAGTGAGAGATAATGATCCCTTTTTCCACAGAAGGAGGTCACCGCACGGGCAGTTGTGGCTCATCCTACTCAGAAATGACCTGGAAAAGGCATTAAAAGGAGGGTGGGAAAAAAGGCAGTGAGGTGACAGCCCCGTGTCATCCACTGGGAAGCAGATGAGGCTGAGGAAACACCCTGGGAAAACTCCTTTTTAATTTCCCAGGCTTTCTGACAGGCTCTGAAACAGCCACCACCGCTCAGGTGCTGGAGCTGCGCTCATCCATCCTGGGAAAAACCCTCCCAAAGAAGCAACTTCAGCCCCGTAAATTGGCCAGGAATCTGCACCAAAGCGCAGGCAGTGCTGCACCTGGAGCTGAGACTGTTCCTGCCTCCCTGTTCCCTGCCTGCCCTAATGCCAAAATTGGCCTCATTCCTTATTTTATTTGGGATGCCGTTGGCCAAGGGCTCTGGTAGCACTTGGGTTGTGTTCCCGTCCTCCAGGAGAGCTGGGAGATCACTTAAAATCTGGCCACTGGCTGGAAAGGGTGATGAATGAACCCTCCATAAATTGGAATATTTTTAATTAGCAGCAGCAGCGTCATGGAAAACAGCTCATTGTGGTTTAGGAGGAAGGATGGAGGGACCTTCAGGAATACACACTTGCTGCTCTGGTGGGGCACCTCCCTATCCCCCCAAAACTGCACGGATTGAACGGAGACAATTTGAAACACAGGATCTCTTTAGCACAGGGGGAGGGACACATCAAGCCTGAGCCACTCAGGGATGTCAAATGCTGTCAGAAACTTGCTAATACACACCAAAAACCGGCACAAAAGGCAGATTAAAACCATTTTGACTCCTGTCAGCAAATCTTCACATTAAGCTGAACTGGGTTCAGCCCGGGTGGGAACGGCTGGAAAGTGTCTCCATCAGGGGCTCGCAGTGTTTTATCCAGATTAACTGAATCAACTCAAAAGCAAAATTACTCCTCCAAAATTAACTCCATGTTTCCACCCAACCAGCCAAGGAGGAGTGAACAGTCTCCTGGCACAAATCCCATGGCACCCTGCTGAGCCTGAATATGAGTCACGAGAGAAGGAAGGTTCCTTCCCATCAGGATAACCTGAGCATGAGCCCATCTCATGGTGTAGCTGGGTGGGATGATCTCCATGGTGTTTGGAGTGTCCCTCCCCCACCAGGATGTCCCATCACGGTAGGATGCTCCTCCTTTGGTGAGATGGTCCCACCTTGGTGGGACGTCCATCCCCAGCAGGATACTCCACTCCCTGGTAAGGTATTTCCCCCTTGGTGGGATGCTCCCCTCTTTAGTGGGATAATTCATCCTTAGTGGGATGGATGTCCATCCCCAGTGGGATGCTCCACCCCTTGGTGGGACGTTTCCCTGCCGGTGGGATGTTCATGTCCCTGCCCTGGGGATGGAGCTGGCTCACCTGGATGTTCTTCTCGCAGTCGGTCTGGTGGTGCAGGAGCAGCTCACTCTCCAGCAGGAAGCGCTTCCCGCACTTGTCGCAGATCTGCATCCGGCTGTGGGTGACGTTCATGTGCTTCTCCAGGTACCAGCGGTTGTTGAAGATCCGGGGGCACTTCTTGCACGGGTAGTGCTGCTTCTCCTCCAGTTTCACCTTCTGCCCCAAACCATCCTGTTCCTTTTTCCTCTTCCTCCCTCGCTGGCCTTCTTCTTCCTCCTCCTCCTCCTCTTCCGCCTTGGCCATCTCCTGGGAGCGGGTTGCCATGGTGGGTTTGGTGGCCCTGGACACCCGGCCACCCCGGCGGGGCTGCCCACCCTTTTCCCTTTTCATCTCCGACGCATCTTCATCGTCGTCATCATCATCCTCTTCTTCCGTCGTCTCCTCCAGCTCTTCCTCCTCGCTGCGCTCCTCCTCCTCCTCCTCGCCCACCTCCGCGTCCTCCTCCTCTTCCTCCTCCTCCTCCCCTTCCTCGTTCTCCTCCTCCCCGTCCTCCTCCGTGTCTTGCCCGTCACCGTCCGGCCGCCCCATCACGGCCGCCTCGCTGGCGGCCGCCTTGCCCTCCGTGCCCTTGGAGACGTTGAGGGTCTGGTTGTTGAGGTTCACCTCCACGATGATCTGCTCGCGGTTGTAGGAGCCCTGGCTGTCCAGGTCCTCCTCGGACTCCTCTCCCTCCATCTTGCACACGGCGCCGGCCCCGCCGTCCTTCTCCTCCTTGTAGTACTGCTTGGCGGGGCCGGCGGGGAGCGCCCCGCCGCCCGTCCCGTCCTCCACCCGCACCGAGAAGGGGTCGTTGCCCTCCCGGGCGTAGATTTTGGGGTGCGGGGGGGCGTCCACCTCCTGCTTGATCTCGCAGTAGTAGGGCGGGGGCCCCGCGCAGCCCTCGGCCGGCAGGGCCATGTCGGTGGCCAGGCTGAGCGAGCGCGTGTCCAGCAGGTCCTGGCAGGACGACGCGATGTTGTTCATCTGCAGCACGGCGGCCGCGTTCAGCACGTCCTGCACATTGCAGGAGTTGACGAGCAGCTTGGAGGTGTAGATGAAGTTGAGGATCTGCTGGAGGCCCTGCGAGGTGAGGGCCTCCAGGGAGAGCTCCACGCGCTGCAGCTGCTTGTTCTGGGTGAAGAGGGAGTGGAAGAACTGGCTGTAGGCGGCCAGGACCCCCTTGTGCGCCGGGAAGATGCTCTTGTGCTGCACCAGCACGATGTCCACGTCGCACAGGTCCGGCTGAAAGAGGCGCTGCTCGTTCAGTCTGTCCATCAAACACGTGAAGTGGAGGGCTACATCCTCCACCAGGGAATACTCAGCAGAAGGGTAGTCAGTCGTCTTTTCGACTATCAGCTGTGGGGAGGAAGGAAATAAAATCGTTCAACACGGCTATTTCCCCCCCAGAATCACCCGCCCTGGCCGTGCCACCCATCCCTGGCCGTGCCACCCGAGACAGAGATGCCGACTGAGAAACTCTACTGCCATCCCCAGCTTGGAAATGCCAACCAAAACACTCCATCCCCATCCCCAGCTTGGAAATGCCGACCAAAACACTCCATTCCCATCTCCAGCTTGGAAATGCCAACCTTGGAGCTCCATCACAAGCCTCAGCTTGCAAATGGCAACCAAAACACTCCATCCCCATCCCCAGCTTGGAGATGCCAACCATAACACTCCATCCCTATCTCCAGCTTGGAAATGCCAATCATCGAGCTCCATCCCCATCCCCAGCTTGGAAATGCCAACCAAAACACTCCATCCCCATCCCCAGCTTGGAGATACCAACCATGAAGCTCCACCACCAGCCCCCAGCTTGGAAGATACCAAAGAAGAAGATCTACCACCAACCCCAGCTTGGAAACGCCAACCTAAACACTCCACCACCCGCCCCAGCTTCAAGATTCCAACCAAAATGTTCCACCACCAGACCCAGTTTCGGAACACCGAGAAGCTCTACCAGCAGGCCCGGCTTGGAGATGATACCAAATGAGAAGTTCCACCACCAGCCTGAGTCCAGGAGACTCAACTAAGCAGGAAACCCCAATGAAAGGGCAGGTCATGGCCATACAAGCAGGCCCTGATATCCCTTCAACGTGGGTGCAAAGCCAGGCTCAGCTGCCCACACTCACACAGAGCAGATGTCACACAGGAGAGGGGATGTCTTGACCTCCTGAACCAGCTGGAGACCCCAGGGGGACATTTGCCCCTCGCAGGCAGACAGTTTCAGGCACCAGCCGGGATTTAACCCCCTAAATGGAAGGAAATTGGGATTTTACGCCTCCCTGTTTGTACAGATAATTACATGAAACCCACAATCCTCTGATATTTGTTGAATATCCGCCGGGGTGATCTGTGTGCTTTTTTTATCCCCGTTTTCAATCGCCTGGGGAAAGGCACTACCTGGAAAAATTCAAATCAGGGAGCAGCATCCCCAGGCTGGGAAATGCCAGGACTGCCAACCCTCCCCAGGCTGTATTTGCTGGGAATTTAATTTTACACAGTCCAGACCACCCCTGGATGTTCATCACCTTTCCTGGTCATACCTGAGCCCCAGGATGGGTTTACCAGCTTCATCCCAAATCCAAGGGATATCCCACACCCTAAGTCCTTTGTCCTGTATTAAAAGCAGATGGGATATATCTCTTCCCTTCTGCTTCCCTCCCTGAACACCCAATTTGTGGATGGAGACGGACCTGGAGGTGTTAATTTCCTCTTTCCCCAGCACTGTGGGATGTGAAAAAGGACATGGTGCAGAACAGGCACAGAGATGGGGGGTTCAACCCGCAGGGTTTATCCTGCCCCTCCTGCCCCACGAAGAGTTTCTCAGCTCCCACTTTTTCTGGGGCAAATGGCAGCTCTTGATCAACACACGAATTCCAGCAAGACACATTGTTTTTGTCTTCTGGTTTGTTTTTTTTGGGGGAGTTTTTTGTGTTTTGTTGTTTGGGTTTTTTTGTGAGCCAAAGGCAAAAGCACACACAGACAAAAATGTTTAAATAATAAAAAAGGGTGTTTTCTTCTCTGTTTTCTCTTCAAGCAAAAAAAAAGGCAAAACAAAACAAAACAAACAAAAAAAAATCCTTCCCCCTCCCTGACAAAATGTTTCATTTTCACTGGATTTCTGCTCCACCACCAACCCAGTCCAACCAACAGGGATGTCAGCTTTGCTTGGTCCTGACAGCTCTGGAAAGCCCAGGGAAAAAAAAACAACACAATTCTGCTCCAAATTCTTGGCTCTGCAGCCTGGAGCAGGGTAAAGAGGTATGAAAAGAGGGGGGATTATATAGATGTTATATATATCTATATACATATTTCATATTTTCAATGCTCTATACATTCATGTTTATATACATTTAAACTGTTTATATCTAAAAATATATAAATACATAGATTTTTACATGTATATTTGTTACAAAATGCCGCATCCCAGCTGGAACATCCACCCACCCCCTCCCCTCTCCCGAGTCTAGTGACTGCCAAGGACATTTTGATGAGATCTTGGATGGCTCAGCTCCCCACCACCACCACCTCAAGACACGTAGAAAATAAATAAAGATACAATAAATATCGAACGCCGAAGAGGCAGCGAGAATTCAGAGGAGCAGTTCGCCAGGTTCTCTCCTGACGAAAAAGAAATCAATTGAATTCAAGGGTTTTCCTGCTGGGATTCACCCTGTACAGGACGGGGAGAAGCAGAGCAACGGCCCGGGGGGGGAGAAATGGGTGCAAAATAAGGGGGATTGGGTCTGCCTCTGCACGGCCCAGCCTGGAAAACAAAAGCCGGGTGTGCTTTTCTATTTTTTTTATTTTTTTGGCAATGGGGGCTGATCCCTCACCCAGAGCCGGGCTTTGCCAGGCGGCTCTAATCAGTCCCAGCAGCGGCGAGGACAATGCGTGTCTTGGCCCCGTCCCGCCGGTGACTTCAGCCCGGGCTTGTCAGCGGGAGGCTTTTGCTCTTTATTGCTCTCAGATGCTTTCCGTGAGCTCGCCCGCAGGCAGAGCCCCAGCCAAGACGAGAGAGGCGCCTGCCGGGGCGAGATCCCGAGAAAAGACCCCGACTTGCCCCCAAAAAATACCCACCCCCCCCTCCCCCACCCGCTCCGGCAGCTCCCGGCCCTGGAGCTAATGGGGATTAAATTCGGTACTCTGCCTCTGGGAAAACACAAATATTTTTAGTGTATATATATTTTTTTTATATAAAAAAAATGCTGTTATTAAATATATATAAGTATATTAAAAAAAATAAAAAACAAATCAGAGTTTTGCTCTTTGCCACCTCGGATGGTTTAGTGCCATGACAACAGGAGGGACACAGGGGAAGGTCACCCATCCCTCCTCCCTCCCCAGTCCGGGGTGCTGGTCGAGTGCTTGAAACTGGAGTGAACCCTAAAACCGCCGCAGAGCCAAGCTCTGAGAGGGGTCTTGGCACCAAAAAACAACCCCTTAAAAATTATTAGAAAGCAGAACGTTCGTGAGTTGATAATGTTCATGAACTCCCCACCCCGAGGGGCCGGCGGCGCCTCCAGCCAGCCCTCCCCGCCCTGACCCTGCCCTCCAGCGCTATTTTAAGTGTTTTCAAGTGATGCTGCCAAAGCCCCGTCCCAAAGCGGCCACCGGGGCAGGAGGGCGGATGGAGGATGGGGAGGACGCTTGGAGGGGAGGGAGGAGGGGATGGATGAGCCCAAACGGCGGGGGGATGCAAAGAAAGGATGAGTGATACGGGAATGGTGATCAAAGCAGATGCTGAGCTCCCTGGATCAGGCAGGGCAGCCTCGCTCCAGCAAGTCCACCAAAAACCCTGCTACAGGAGGTGGAGCCCAAGCTCCATTTCCACCCACATCCCCAGACGTTCCTCAGTTTCCCTAAATAGTCCCAACAACACCTGATCACCTCGCCTGAAAGGTGTTGCTGGATTTAAATCAATGTACCATGGTAAAAAGCTATTTCTCTTAGAAGGTATTGAGAGCCAGATCTCTAAAAGTTCCTGCAGCTCCAAACTTCCCCAAAGGACCAGCAGGTCAGGTCACTCTCCCATATTTAAATACTCAAATCCCCAGCTCCCCAAGAGATCTACGACCTTCACCAGCCCCTCATTTCTCTTGCCTTTCTTTCTTCCTTTCTTCCTTTCCATTTTCCTTCTCTCTTTCCTTCTTTCCATGTCTGTTGCCCTCATGACCAGAGCATCAAGGACCATGAGCACCTTTCTCCTGAATTACCACAGGATGGGGGATTTTGGGGCATAAAATGCACATTTAGTGGTGGTGACAAGGCCCTGCTTCACCCCCAGGCAGAGCAGTAAGACCGACTGCCCACGAACCAATTTCCACCCAGCACAAAAATTGAGAGATTTCTTCAAGTTTTTCACCCTTAGAACGCCCATGGAAAAAGGCAATCTGCTTTTCTGTATCATTTCCAACCGCCCAAAACATTCACCATTGACCTTCAGTATTAAACTGCATTAAGGAAAAGTGCTTTAATAAGGAGCATGAATACGATGTCAGCACTTGATCCTCAAAAAACCCCGTGTCCTCCTCTCGATTTGGACATGGCTGCACTTCAGGGTGAAAGAGCTTGGCTGAGACTGCTTAATGCCAAAGCTTGACTTCTGCTGAAGAATGAAATAATGTTAATAAACCTATTTTTACAGATTAGTTCAAACGATACAAAGGGGTATCATTAGAAATCCCAAACACTCGCGCTTTCTGCTTTAATCCTCCCTCTCCTACAATCTGCCCTCTGCTTTCCAGACCCTTGGATGAAACCTTCAGCCCTTTCTCCACAGTTTTGAGGCCGCCCAGAGGGGTTTTTTAAGGACAACGTGACGCCCGTGTCTTCCCACGACTCCCAAACCCAGGATACACCGAGACGAAGCGGTCCCAGAACGAGCAGGGCTGCCCGTGCTCATCCCGCTGCCAAACCACCCATTTTTGGACCGTGGCCACGCACGGAAACACATGGCAGAGGGATAAACCACATCCCAACACCACCCTACCTTCACTGCTCTGCCCTGCTGCCACCTCCCTCCCCGGGGATGTCTCCCGTGGGTGCTCCCGGCACGGGACGGTGCCGGGGGTGGGGTTTGTTCGCTTCTCCTCCGAACCGACCGACGGGTGTTTTCGTTTAATTAGGAGAGGGTTGTCCGGAAAAACAAGCAGGAAGGGAAAACAATAGCTCGGCCACAGCCCCGCCTGGCGAGGCGCCGGCCCCGGCACGGGCTCCGAGTGCCCACCGCCGGTATCCCGCCCTTGGGATCTCCGGGATCACCGGGATGCTGCGCCACGCACTCAGCGGGGGATGGTCCCATCCCACCTCCGGAGGCCAGGAATGACCTTTGGGATGGTGGTGGCACCACGTGAAGAGGTGATTTTCCCCCGCGTGTCTAAAACAGAGCCGTAAACCGGTTATGGCAACAAGAGGAAGAGGCTCAGAGAAGCTCCCAGAGCCTCTCCCACCCCAGAGTGTCAGACACCCCAAAAAACACCTCCCAGCCTCTGCACAAGAAAAGAAGAGCATTAACCCAGCTGTGGGACAGTCAAATGCTTCCCAGGTCTTTTTTCCCCCCCTCTGTCTTTTGGTTGTTTTTAGTTTTTTTATTAATGATACCCAGCGTTTACAGGCTTTGGCTCAAAGGAGCTTTTCCCGGGAGCAGCCTGGGGAGTTGGCATCGCAGCACCCGGCCCACCAGGACCGTCCTCAGCACAAGGGAAGGGAGGAAAATCCCTCTCCCATCCCCGCATCCAAGGGGACATTTCCCTCTGCAAGTGAGGGAAAGGTTCGTTTGTGTTTCTCTCTCAGCAGGGGGGTGAGGTGGGATGAGCAACACGAGGCTTTGTTCCCCTGGGGGCAGGCACTGGCTTCTGACAGCACAGCCCACAGAGGGTTAATGGCTTGGGGCTTTCTCATTTATTTTATGGTTTTTTTTACATTTTTAAACCCCACCACCCTCTCTGGATGGTTTTCTCCTTTTCTTTCACCCAAAGAGTTGCAAAACCACAATGATACTTCCCAGGATGGATGGACACCAACCCTGCTGTCACCTCCTATCCCCAAACTGGTCCAGTGAGGTGACACAGCTCCTGGGGGATGCCACCATCCCTCTGTCCCTCCAAGGGTGACAGCAAGGACAACGCCAAGCCCTGGGAGTCCATCCCAGAACATGTGAAGTCGAGCACCATCCCCTTTGCAAGCACGGCCTCTGCTGCAAAAATACTGAGGTTTCAGCAATGCCACGATATTTCCAGCCCAGGACAAATTCCAATCCCTTGGGAAGGCACCAAAGCAGGCTGGATGCACCCATCTGTCTGTCCCTGTCCCCTCAGTCAGGGCTGAAAGGGCTTTCTTTGGGCAGCTCAGCCAGACCCAGCACGTGGTGCAGAAGCCCTGCAGGTAATTCCAGAGCTGCGCCAAGCCCGGAGCCGGGTCTGGAGTTAAACCCCGAGGAGATGCTGCTGGATTTGGGCAGAGCCGGCGTCCTCCTGGCAAACACAGGCAGGACAGACCGGCCGCGGGGTCCCCGCCAGCGCCTGGCACAGCCAGTGACACCCGGCTGATGGAGATGTCCCCGAGCCGCCACCCTGGCAAGGGAGCAGGCGGCGGGATGGGATAGGATGGGATGGGATGGGATGCTGCCCTCCTGCCTGCGGGATTCAGGACCTCCCGCGGAGCCACTGCCCGGGTGGACGAGCCCAGGGGATCCGCAGACACGCAAAGCCACTGTCCCCCTCCCTCCCCTGCCCGGCAAAAACAGGCGGAGGGAAGATCGAGAGAGGAAACGAGGACAAAACCCAGCGCTGACCTCCCCAGCCGGGCTGGCGGCCAAGCGGCTGCGCCAGGGGCCGGCTCCGAGCGCTGCCCAGCCCGGGGGGAGCCGGGGAGGGGCATCACCCCCCGCCCCCAGACCCCGTGGATGTCCCACTGCCACCGAGGGAGGGGGGTGGATGCAGCAGGGCAGGCGGTGCTCGAATATTCCCACGGGTCATAGGATTCTCCTCCACCCCCCTCCCCCTGGACCCCCAAATTCGGTGCCAGGAGGATGGAGGGTGCAGCGGGGCAGCTAACGTGTCGCTCGTACAGAGCTTGGAGGCGTCACAGCCCTGAGCCAGAACTACTTCCATGTGCTGCCACACGATGGCCGGGAAGAGGGTGAGATCCCCGGGAAGCAAGGTGGAGGGGTGGATGATTGGATGGGTGGAGGGATGGAGGGATGGATGGAGCCTCCTCCCAAGCACTGCTCAGTGAGGCTTTCCTCAGACAGCATCATCCCCTGCCCAGCACCACAGTTCCCATCCCTTGGGAAGCCACCACCACCTTCCAGGGCGATCAACAGGAACATGGGATATGCCACTTCCAAGGTTTGCCTCACACCCAGCCCCCAGCAAACCTACAACCACCAGCATCCAGTTTTCCAACCCAACTCCAGACCACAAAACTCTTCAACCTTGAACCTCTCTCAGCATCCCAGGCAGGGCTTTCCATCCCAGAGCATCCTCTCCAAACAAACACTGGCACTGACTCCAGGGATGGTCCCATCTCCAGTTCTATCCTAAATCCAGCCTTGACTGGGGCTCTTTGGGAAGCACCAGTTGTGCTCCTCTGGTTCAACCATAGAACAGTTTGGGTTGGATGGGACCTTAAAGATTATCTTGTTCCAACCCCCCTGCCGTGTGCAGGGACACATTCCATTAGATCCAGCTGCCCAGATCAAGGATGTGGTTCCACCAGATCCTTCCTACCTCACACTTTAAACGTTTTATTATGAACATGCATTAAAATGCCTCATTTTTATCCTGTTTTTTTTTTTTTTTCCAGCAAATCCAGCACCTCAGGGAGCAGAGCTTTGACTCAGACAGGGTGTCAGCGGCCCTGGCTCCAGGCAAAATATAAAATCATAAAAATAATAATTAAAAAAAGGATAATTTATTGTAATTAAGCCCTTTACCTATCATATCTACACTGCCATGGCCAGTCTTTCCCCCTCTTCCAAAGCCATCCCAGGTTTTCCCCTCAGGAGAGGTGGATGAACACCAAGATTGGCTGAAGAGGGGGCAGCAGCCCTGAAGGATACGGGGACAAGTTCTCAGCGTCCCCGGGTGGGAAACCCAACAGGACCACCCCTGCCCTGCCCAAACTACTCCAGCAACACAACACAACGTGTTCCCCTTAAAAATAAGACAGGAAAAATCCAGAGGCGCAGAGCCTGACCCTCAGCTCGTCCTCCCCACCAGCTCCCCCAGCCTTACGGGGACCCGTGGGATGCCAGGGGACACCCAGGATGCAAACCACGTGGAGGATCCCGGGTACCCCCATTTTTGGGGCCCGGCAAACGTGGCAGCGGATTAAAAACTTCGCCTCTTGCCCTTCCCAGAGCACTTTGCCCCGGCCATCGGCACATCCCCACCTATAAAGGCTTAAATGCAGCGCTGTGGGAGAGCCCTCGGTTTCCTCCTCCAGCCGGAGCACAGGGAGGGAGGACGGGAAAATCAGCAATTCCCCCCAAAACATTCAAAGACCCTCTGACGTTCTGACACATTCAGTTCACCTACAAAAGGTTGGTTTCCCCCCTCCCTCCTCCCCACCCTGCCCCCTCCCCCCATTTTTCCTCCAGCAGAAAAACCTGCATCTTAAAAATAACCAATATTTAATCAACTCGCAGGCAGCCTCCCGCTTCTCCCTCCCTTTTCCAAAGGAGCCCATTCCAGAGGGTTATTTTTGTGGAGAGGGTGACAAGCTTCTCCCTCAGACGGGAGACGGGAACACAAGGCCGTTTATCTCGCCTGGTAACAACCCAACACGCCGCTAATTCCTCGCAGGGAGAACAAAGCTCCGCCGCGGAGCCAAGGGGACCCCGGCAAAAAGCCCCGGAGCGGCGCTTATCCCAACCTGCATCCTCAGGGAAACTCCGTGGTCAGAGCCGGAATGTTTGCACCCAGCGAGATTTCACCACAGATCCAGGGGAAAAAAAAATTTAAAAAAAAAATATAAAATAATAAAAAATAATAAATCCCTTTATCTTCCCAAGGAGGAATTTTTGCTCTGTAAGGCAAATCTTCCTCTGCTCCCTGCTGAGGCCGGGTGTGGAAGGAAAGGCTGAATTCCCAACTTTTCCCTGTCTTCCTCGCGGGGCTGTTCGCTTGAGTGGGCTCCGGGCATCTCCCTCCCCACCTCAGGGAGTGAAAACACTCCCAAAACCACCCCTGTGTGTCCCCTGGTCCGTCAGCATCTCCTCTGGGAGATGGGATGCAGGGGCAGTTCCAGCAGCTGATTCCAGGCCAGCAGGAATTTTGCAGGTCGAGTGTGACTGACCAGCACTAACCCAATGCCAATCCCCATCCCGATCCCAATCCCAATCCCAATCCCGGCCGGTTTACCCCCAGTATCGCAGCCGGGGGGTGCCGAGCCCCATCCCACCATCCCGTCCATCATCTCCTGCGCTGAGCCAGCGTCGTTTCCTTATTTTTTCCAAGCTTGCACTTTCTTCCCCTTCCCGAAAAGCCTCTCGGACGCTTCCCGGGGTGTTGTGACGGGCACGGAGCCAGCGCTGGGGCAATCACAGCCCCGCACTTTTAGGGATGGGGAGGCACCAGGGTACCGGGAACCGCGGTCTGTGGTCACGGCGTATCCCAGGGGATTTCCCGTGGATCCTCCCAGCTCAGGCCTGCCCTCTGCAACTCGCAGTGACCCCCCCAAAACTCCGCCGGCCGATAAAATAGGTCACTGCCGCAGGCGAGAGCCCCGGCTCGGATGTTTTTATTATTATTATTATCGTTATTTTTTTAAGTGCAGGGATGGAAAATCCCTTTCCCGGCCCGCAGCGGGGTGGGATGCTGCGCCCTCCCCGCGGCCTCGTTCCTCCGGGATGTCGGGGTGCTCCCAAAATCCCCCCAAACCCCCGGGAAAAGGGGGGGGGGCACGACTGGAGCCAGCCATGGCGGGGGGGGGGGAGGGGAGGGGGCAGGAATTGGCAAAATGATGGAGTCATCCGGGGAATGGGAATGGCCGAGGAAGCGGCATCTCCTGCACCCCCCATCCTCCCTCCCCTCAGCAAATCCTCCGGCCTGGGGGCCCCAAAAGTGTGTGTGTGTCCCCCAAATCCTCCCGGAGCCCCCTGGGTGGGAGCGCTGAGACGGGCTGGGACCCCCTCGGGGGGAAGGAGGGGGAGGGGGGCAGATCCCTCCGCAAGCCCTTTCTGTGCCCCCCAAAACCCCCTCATCCCCCCCCTTTTAATGCCATTTTAAACCAAATACAACACG